GTATCAGGCTGCTTTATATGTGGAGAAAGTGGAGATACAAGTACTGAGGCAGAAACTGTATCTCACAAGAAACATATGAAGGTGTTTTTTCCCTTCAGTGAAAATGGCCCATACTGGTCATTCAACTCAACCATGGACACTGATTTTATAGACCTCACCAAAATACTCATAACCATGTCTAAAGTCTGAGATAACAGGATTTTTCCTGATTTCACAGGAGAATTTGAACAAGCTGATGACCAACCTCAGGAGTACCCACCCGCATTTTGTGCGCTGTATCATCCCCAATGAAACAAAAACTCCTGGTAAGAAGTTGTAGAATGAAAGCACAAAGCATGATGGCCATACTTCCTTTTTAACAAATTCTGCAATGACATAAATATGTATGTCTTAGGGGCCATGGAGCATGAGCTTGTCCTGCACCAGCTGAGGTGCAACGGTGTGCTGGAAGGCATCCGGATCTGCAGGAAGGGCTTCCCCAGCAGAATCCTGTATGCAGACTTCAAACAGAGGTCAGGCTCTCTTAATTACAGGGCATCTTAAAGTTTGGCATAAATATATTTAATGCAAGCAAAACAGTTGAGTGAAAAATATGCCTTTATTTGTTGTTTTTAATTTTCCACAGAAAGGTAAAAAATGATAAGCCCCAAACATCTTGAAAATGTAGCTATATCACATGTTAAGCACTCTATGGGCTTTTCTTTGCATTTACTAAGCTCCTGGGTTAGCTCATAGATGTATACATTAACTTCAACTGTGACGTTTGACTACAGTCGAATGATATTTCCATGCTGCTGACTGCGGAGTTTGACTTTATCCCATGAGCTCAGTGTTCCAGGAGGGAAGTTTAGGAAAGCAGATGTACATTTTTCTATAATTTTGTGTTTTTCAAGAATGAAAACAACAGGAAAATTTTATACTTTAAAGTAATCATTTATTTTAATCAAATGTAGCACCTTAACTGCATTTACTTAAAAATATAAATACTGTAATTATTTTCTTTTAATTTTTGACACATTTTGGAGAACAAACTTGAAATCAATTAATGTGGTGAAAAGGTTAACTTCAATAATTACGAGTACTGCCATTTTTTGAATGCTATTTTGATCATCTCATTTAATCCTTATAAAAACTCAGTAGAAGCAAGCAATACTAAAGCCTCATTTTATAGATGAATAAACTGAAGTTCTAAGAAATTAAGTTACTTACCCAAAGTCACAGAGTTATTAGGTGGCTGAATTAGGAACTCTCCCATGCATATATAGCTACCAATAAGTGATTTTCTATCCCTTCTTTGGTATCTTCATCTTTTTCTCTCACACACTGGTTTCCTGGAAACATGCCAGCTCTTCTTTCTCCTCCCTGGATAAGCCCATCTTGAGAATCAAATAACAGGCAAAGAGGGTAGGTGACAGCTGTAGGAAGCTGGTTTCTCCTAAGTCTGGGTCTGGTAGAGTTAACAGAGAACTCCAGTGCTCAAGACCTAAAACACCCCTACATTTGACTTTAGGTGGTTAGGACCGTTCCTCATACCTAAAGTGCACTTTTTATCAGATTCCTCAAGAAACATTTGCATCCTTGGACTCAGGATCTTAAAAAGCAAATGCACTTAGCTAGGATAACATGCTACATTTAGTTGGTCACCTACACCTTAATGTGAACAAGATTATAGAATCCTTTCCTGAGAACAAGGTCTGATGAGGCAGGAAGGAAAGTTACAACTGTTCGGGAAGGTAAAATGGAGTAAAAATAGATAGTCAATACTAAATTGACTATCCATATATACAATGTCCTTCCTGTGAGCAAAATGTAATAATAGAGCTTTTTAAATGCTCTGATTTCTTAATGGATCATTTAATGTTCAGTTACTATTAGTGTCATCAGTAAACCAAGTTTNACTGAGTCATCCACCTGATTCATGTTTGAAAACCACATTGTTAACTTGTTCCCCTTGAGTTTTCCTAGGAAGACATTCATTTTTAATAATTGAGTTTTAAAGCATACCTAGATAATATACTAGGTGAAGCAGAATTATTAGACATGTATTTCCTATCATTTCTGAAGTTCTTTGGGGCACACTACCCATAATCAAGGTCTCGAACTTAATGAAAAAAATGGGCAAAAATACTCAAAAAGATATTCTGAAAAAATTGCACAAAATGCATGTAGCTTAAAAAAAAATGAAACAGTGAGTAGCTTAGGGCCATAGTAAGATTGTTCTATCCTTTCTTCCTTTTAGTTGCTGACAAGGCAGCCTATCTCCAGGGTCTGAACTCTGCTGACCTGCTTAAAGCCTTGTGCTACCCCAGGGTCAAGGTCGGCAATGAGTACGTCACCAAAGGCCAGACTGTAGAGCAGGTAGGTGCATATTTCAAATTCACCGCTGGGGATGCAGGCATTTTCCAGTCCTCTGATAACCTCAAGAGGTATATCTTTGTCTTTCAAGGTGTACAATGCAGTGGGTGCTCTGGCCAAAGCCGTCTATGAGAAGATGTTCCTGTGGATGGTGACCCGTATCAACCAGCAGCTGGACACCAAGCAGCCCCGGCAGTACTTCATTGGGGTCTTGGACATCGCTGGCTTTGAGATCTTCGATGTGAGTTGGGAGCTAGTTGCCATAGGGATTTTATACTAAGGGAATGGAAATATCAATAAGAAATATGTAAATATTATGACCTTTTCTTAACACTGTCAAAAAACTATGCTAAGACTTAAAAGGGTGTGATTGGGCAGCTCCTAATCATCTATTACAGTGGCAATTCCACTTTTGTGAGAAATAATGCACGTGATGTGGACTCTTTAATTTTTTACATGACCCAAAGGGAGTAAGAAATTAGCTTGGTGTAGTGGGGCAGGGGTGGGACTCTAAAAATTCCACAATGCAAAATGAAGTTAACATAAAAATATCAAAGTAAGCCTGTGCAATGCATAATATACTCTGAATAGATGGTGTAAAACTCATCCAGAAATACTTAGGAAGATAATAAGGGCTGATAAAAGGTTAGTAATTTAGAGTCAGCATTGATAAGCTCAATGTAATGAACTCTTAAAACTCTATATGATATCATGGGATAAAAGTTCATAGTTGATTATAAAATACATTTTTCCGGCTTATAGTTTTGAACAAGTTTCTCTTTTTCTTTTTAATTCTAAAAGCACAGCTTTGGCATTGCATAAGGTATAGAAAATCAAGAAAAAGGATTCCACATTAATTCCACTATTTACATTTAGCTAATGTTAACATTTTGGCATTTTTTAAAAATACAAGTGTGTGGGAAAAAAACCCCCACAAGTGTGTTAACATATTGTACATAATATTTGGTATCTTGATTTTTTCATTTCAAATTAAAGAACAACAAGGGTGGCAGTTATTGCTCACTTGCAAGGCTGACCATGATGACTTCCATAAAACAGAGACCCCTCCGGGCTAGCTTCTAATGGGTCACAAATTAGCTCTTCAGTGAATCAGCAGGAAATGCAGAAGTTAGTGGCAATACACATGAAATGATTAAGTAGGAACTCAGAAAAATACCTGCGTTAACTTAAGCAAGTGCAGGAAAAGTGTATTAATGATTTAGGACTTCGCATAAATGGCAGCAAACATTAGATTTCACAGATAATTTTGATATCTATAACATAAAGGCTATTTGTCATATATTTTTAAATTAAAAAGTTCTATATTTAAGAATGCTCAATTTGCTAGAAGAAAAGTAGACACATCTATTTATTGTAGTTCAACAGCCTGGAGCAGCTGTGCATCAACTTCACCAATGAGAAACTGCAACAGTTTTTCAACCACCACATGTTCGTGCTGGAGCAGGAGGAGTACAAGAAGGAGGGCATCGAGTGGACGTTCATCGACTTTGGGATGGACCTGGCTGCCTGCATCGAGCTCATCGAGAAGGTATCCTATTCTATCCATTCAGTCTCCTCTCCTCGTAT